TGTATTTATTTATTTATTTATTTATTTATTTGGCAGAACTGTGGATTGAACTCAGGCTATTGAGCTTGCCAGGGAAGCGCTTATTCCACTGAGCCATCTCCCCGACCCAAGGAAGCTTTAGTTTTTAAGGGATTTAAAATGAAAAGATAATCTTTGGAAACTTATTTAGTCATAAAACTGATAAAAAATGTTACCAAGTGGTTTGTTCAGTCTTGAATTATAAGAAATAATCCTGGAATTTAATTCTAATGATACATTACTGACAAGAACAGGAAAGGGCTTGAGGGCATTGGAGGGTATGTCTTTTTTGTGGACAGCTCAGCCTGCCCTGGGTGCAGGGCTGTCATGGCATGTGGTGCCTGGGATCATACTGCCGTCCCTGCACTTGCCTAACCTTTCCTAAGGAGGCACTTTAGACTGCTGAACTATCTCACTGGCCCAAGGGTATGTTTTTAGAGAGGAATATTATGGGCAGAGGAAATTGGGTATATAAAGACACGAGTAAGGGAAAATTACGGCTGAATGGAAGACTCTTGTGCACGGAGATGAGAAATCAGTGTAGGTATTAATTGAGCACAGTGGTGACGAGTGCACGGCATGCATGCTGCTGCAAGCACCAGAGCCGTGGGGTCAGCCTGGCCAGGTGCCCTCGCAGCTGGGCATCAGATAACAGCGCGCATCAAGGCGCTGTTGGCCCTTTGAGGTGCATTAGTCAGTTTCGGCTTGCAGTTTGAACACTCAGTCTCTAAAAGTTTTGCCATTACTGCTAGCATGAAACTACACACACAGTGGAGATGTTGCATCCAGAACCTTGTCTTTCTCATGGAGAATTTTAGATTTAGTCTGAAAGCATTTGAAAGCAGAGTTCCGCATGTCCCCGGGTTCCACACCTGCCATTTCAAACAACCGCTTACTGAGAAAAAACTTGTAATTGTCTCTACTGAATAGATTTTGGTTTTGCCATTGTTTCCTAAATGATAGAGTTCAGCAAATATTTGGTAGTGCTTGCATTATATTAAGTATTACACATAATTTAGAAACAAGAAAGTCATGGGCAAGTTACATGTAAATACGATATTATTTCATATAAGGGAAGCATTTTGGGATTTTGATGTCAATGAGAGTTCAAGAACTAATTTCAGTAAGTGTGTTTTCTTCAAAATACTTCAAACAAGTGTTTTCTTCACTCAGAGGATACAAGCAGTCTTATTTTAGGAATAATGACTAGCAAGGGGAAAATCAGTGAATGCTACCCTGCGTAGTATTGGCCTCCATTAGTAGCTTAAGTAATGTTTAAAGCATGGGCTGATGAAGTGCAGAGAGATTAAAAGATTCCATGTGGAGGAAATAAGACTTATTATATAACAGATTGGGTGTGGCAGTGAGAGAGATGATCTTGTTCAATTTGAAGAGCAATTTTGCTTATACATTTGAAAAGAAGCATTCAGGAAGAGAAACAGTTTTGTTGTCTCTTACATAGTGAACTGGTTTGGGATGCTTCTAAAGAGACATTAAAATAAAGAGTTCGTGCAGATAGTTCTTGATTTGAATGTGAAGAGTTTTTCTAGTAATACAAATAGAACAATCAGAATAAGTGAGATAATAAATATTATGGAATTTTTAAATATTGTTCTGAGTGCAAGTACTAAAATAAAAGGAGCATTACAGGTCAGAAGACTATTGAGTGACATTAAGTATCTAAAAGAATTTGAACTGCCAGAGATTGTGAATAATTGCAGGAAAGTTAGTTATACTAAAAGACTAAAATGTACAAAAGTGTATAGCAGCAAGGACACAAAGGTAATAACATGCTTAAGAAATATGAAAAAAAGAAAGATGAGAAAATTATCTGTAGAACAAAGAGAAAAAGAATTTTAAATTAGAATAAATTGCTCTCTGTTGTTAGATATTCAAAGTATTGGAATGAGTTGACAGAGCATATGTAGATTTAAAAAGAGCCACATGATTATTTAATCAGATGTTTAGGATTTTTTACATTGTTTTTGTTTGTGTGTAGTAAAAAGCATATGCACAAGGTAGAAATTTGACATATAGAAGTTTGGAAGGAATGCAGATTGGAATCATTATCGGGAAAGAGATAAATTGGTATAACTATACCAACATAATTATAGAGCTTCCCAAGAAGCATTAAGTTCCTATAGTGGATATGATCACTTGGCTTTGAAGTCTGTTCACGTACAACATTCTCACACTTCCTATATGCAGACTACGGAAAACAAGATGTTTTTGTTTATTTAAGATTGGAGTTTTACTAGGTACACAAGATGGAAAAAAAAAAAAAGATTCAGAAAACAAAAGGGAAGGAAGTGAAATTCTTGAAGTGTAACTTGGGCTGGTGAGATAGTTCAGCGGTCTAAAACACCTGCTTAGGCAAGCGTAGGCAGGCATGGGGGACTGCAATTTGATCCCCAGTACCACAGACTGTTTGCAGCCTGAGTTAGCACAATAAAAAAGAAAAAAAGAAAAGAAAGATAAAAGTGCGCCTTTAAAGCATCTAATACATGATCAGTTTCCAATAAATAGGAATAGGGAGAAAAGTAAGACCTCAAAAGACATTGGTGAATAGAGAAAACTTCAATAAATTAATGGGGATACTAGTTTAAGATAAAAAATGAAAATGTGTTTTAAAAATCTTGGCTAAATTTCAAAAACTTGAAGGAGAGGAGGCTGTGGTCAGGAGCCGGGGCATTCAGATGAAGGGTTGTTTGTATGAAGTCAATGTGAGGAATAGCAAAATCTGGATGCAAGGCTCTTATTTTCAAGAAGAAGAAACTGTTTCTGGATCAATCTAGAAGAGATATCCGTTGAAATCAACCAGTGTCCACAGCCTCCCAGGAGAGTGGAGACTTAGGTAGGTAAGACTAAAAAAAAAAAAAAAAACGGTCATTAGAAGTAAAAGAAGTAATGAGCTCAGTTACTGTTGGTTGGTTCATGTCACTGTCTAAACCATCTTGGAAGTTGGAATTAATTTGAAAGAGTCAAATAATAAGAAATTGTTGCGATTAAATTAACAGAGAATGAGGTTTATTAGTGTGATAAGAAAATTGTAGAGACAAAGTTATGATTAGAAGGTTGGGTTTCAAAATCACTGTACTCAGTTTAAAAACACAATTTGAAGAATGTAGCATGCAATTTCTGTAAGTTACAGTAGGAAATTTGGACAGTTAAAAAACATGAGTTTAAGTAGTTAAGAATCTATCTACAAATGAAATGTAAAATAAAGAGAGAGAAAAATGAGAGAGTAATAGTTCAGACACTGTTTTAAAATATTTCAATATATATTTCAATATATATGCCAATTTGTTTAGCTTATACTGAGCTCATTTTGGTTTTTTGAACAGGCAATTTGTGTGACTGTCTGATTTTTTTTTTTTTTTTTTTTTTTTGAACTGGGTAATTGGACTCAGGCCCTTGAGCTTGCCAGGCAAGTGCTTATTCTTACTGAGCTACCTCCCTGGCCCCAAGTTTATCCTTTTCTTTTTCTTTTCTTATCTTTTTTTTTTCCTGTGCTACCGTGGATTGAACTCAGAACCCTGCACTTGCCAGGCAAGCGCTTATTCTACTGAGCTATTTTTCTGGCCCTGTATCTTATTTTTGTGAGAGGTTTTTGGTATACTTCTGGCACTACTTTGAAGACAATTATACACAGTGTAATAACTGCTGTTATTCACTTATTATTTGGTTATGAACATTTGTTTTTTCTATAAAATAGAAAATATAACAATATTTTTAAAAAGAAATTAAGAAACATTACTAAAAGACCCAAGTGCGAGAGACAAAATACTAGAACTTAATTGAAACAAGTAAGTCAGACAAAGAGAGTAAAAAGTATATACTAAAAGTTGTAATATAGTGTGTTGCTAGAATGTTAAAGGGGCAGGGGATAAATCTATAGGAGTGGGGTGGACAAGATAATGATAGGTTATTAGGCTTTGCATGTGGCTTAGACCATATACCGATAATGATAGGTGCTACAGAAGCAATGATAAGATTAATGTCTTTGACTGTTCTTATGGTTTTTGAGCATTTGATGATGGAAATGAAAGAAAGGACATTTATTATGCTTCTGTGACAAATACATTCACAATTGAGATTGTAACTGGTAATGACAATGAACAGAAGAAGAAGAGTTTTCAGACAATGTCAACAAGATGTGACCACTTAGATTTGAAGGTCAATGACAGGAGTGCATGGTAGACCACTGATCCAATTATTTGAATAAGGTGAAACACGTGTTTGTGGAGAAGGACATCAGCAAATGAAAAATAAAAGAATTAAGTGGTGATCTTGTTGAGTCTGAAATTCCTCAAAGTTTGTCTATGATCAAATTTGAAATGCCAAAACTAGATAACCAATTGCAAATCCTGAGGATATAGTAGCATGCAAGTTCGTGAGCTTGGATGAAAATAATGAACGAGTAAGGCACTTGGTGCTGGGAACATGGAGCCACCATGTACAGAGCTTTGGAGAGTGATCAGCTATAGTTCTTGCTTCAGGATCAGAAGTCTTCAAATGAAATAGTGATGAAAATATGATTTCTTCATGTTCATCAATCTCTTTCTCTCTCATCTTTACATATTAAAAACAAATAATTCACATTCCACTTTATGTGCATGAATGCTGATCCTATACATCTAAACATTTGTTCTCACAGTCACAAAGTAAGAACTCCAAACACAATAGTGCTGTGATACTTTTGTTTTTCCAACATATGGTCCACATTGCTTTGGGAGCTGACGCGTACACCTGTTCACTGTCTATACTATGTGAAACTGCTCTTGGAGATATCTAGGCATCTTGTCATGCTATATACACTGTAATTAATGTATAATCAATTACTATGGTGACTGAGTGAAATAATATAAGGCATTGCAAAGAGAGACCATAGGTTTTCTTACTTCAAGATGGTAGGCTGTCCACTCTGCCTCGATTAATATAAAGAACTTGAATAAGAAGTTTCTAGTGTACATTTTTCTAATACATATCACAATAAAATACCCATGACAAAATAACTAAAACTCATAATAAAATATACTTAGGAATGCTAGATTATGGATTTGAAATAAAAGGCAAAGCATGTTCTTGATGAGTCAGTGAATCCAAAGGAGCTTCTTTGATTTTCCTCTTTGCTTTTCAGTAAAATTTCTTTGTCCAGCCACAAGACCCCACAGATGCAGAAATAATAGAATATGCCTGCCCTCCGAGAAAACGTGCGATGGAATTGACGACTGCGGGGACAGCTCAGACGAAGATCATTGTGGTAAATCCGGTTAATGAAAAATAATTAAGTAGCAAATAAGAAAAATGATTTGAAGGCTTAAAAATAAAAGGGGCCAAGGAGATACTTCAGCAGTCTAAGCACCTGCCTGTTAAGCTCAGGGGCCCGTGTTTGATCCCCAGCACCACATGCCGATCCGGCCCCGCCCCTGGACACACCAAATCCAGCCACTGAGTCGGTGCGTGGTGGCGCAAACCTGTAATCCCAGCGCTGGGGAGGCTGAGTCAGGAGGATTACTATGAGTCCAAGCTGCGTAGTGAGACCCTGTCCCAAATTAAAAAAATAAATAAATACGTAGATTTTAAAAAATTAAAAATCTCCATGTTTGTGTCTGAGGATTTTTTTTTTTAATTTGATCTTTTGAAGGGGTGTGAGAATAATCTCCTGTTGCTCCATCTGCATAAAGGAGTTGCGTGGCTTCATTCAGAGCCTCACTAGGAACTTTACTGGGGCGAATAGTCATTGTCTTGGGCGAAATGACACAGTGGTTTAACCGTTCTTTATCGGGGTTTTCAAGGGAAGGATGATTTGTGAATATTGTATGTGGACACAGTTTTTTTATCAGTTTCTGAGATAAAAAAAGACTGTTTAGTAGGAAATACTTAACATATACAATAACTGATTTTGAGACAAAACTGACTTGCAATTATTTAAGGCAGTATATATCACTAAAAGGTTGTACTTAGATGAAGTTTGAACATTTTCTTTCCAGAGAAATAGAGTCATTAACTGTACTACAAATACATACTCAGAATAATTTTAAGTTATCTTCAGAATCCTCAAATGAAGAACTACAGGCCCATGTTTCTTATAACATGTAATACGTTCTTAAATATATTTTCATTTTTTTTTTCTTTTCCCTCTTCACTCACCATTTGGAGAACCAAGTTCAAATTTGAGAGGTTTGTTCCCTGGGATATTTGTGCTCCGTAGCTGGATCTCACACCCTCTTTTGCCCAGTAATCATTTTACCTTGGAGCATGTAGTTAATGCTTAATCATGAAAGATTCACTTCACCTGTGCACCTTGCCCCTCAACACCAGTGAACCCTCACATAAGTCCCAGTGTAAGATCTTTGGTGAACTGCAAAATCTGAATGAAAGCATACCCAGAAAAGTCCACTTCATCCTCACAGCTGTCCAATAACTGTGAGATTAAGCTAAGCAGACCATTAGTATCCTCCAAGTTCTAAGTCCATGCTTGTCATGATTCCATGAATTTAAATCTCATTTGTAAAACTTTTACCAAGGGGACATGACTGTATCTTTACCAGATTGTAAATCTATACAGATCCATCCCCAAGTCAGTTCTTTTCAAATCCATTGGCTGTCTTGTCTCCCTGCCTTGCCATTCTGGGTCACGTTTAACACGTACATCTTGGGTATCTCACCAGCCCAGAAGCTGCCAACTTGGGAGACAACTTCGGGAGGCTCGGTATATGGGTGCACAGGCATTTAGTGCAATTTTAAGCAAATTGTATGATGAGTAAATCGGTTGGGTATCTATGATAGACTAACCATTCTTTTAAATTACTCTTTAGGTAAGGTTACATATAAAGCAAAGCCTTGTAAAAAGGATGAGTTTGCTTGCAGTAATAAAAAATGTATCCCGATGGACCTCCAGTGTGACCGGCTTGACGACTGTGGAGATGGTTCTGATGAGCACGGCTGCAAAACACGTGAGTGTTTTCTAAGCAAAGCACGGGAACACCCAGGGCCAGTTCAAGCTTGAATGTGGCGCAAGGGTTTCTTTTATACTGTGTGAAAAACTGTGCAAGTTATACCTTTTTCCAAATGAACGTAATCACTCCAGATATCTCTTAATTTAAGAAGGTATGAAGTGGAGAAGATTACTTTTGCAATGAGTATCCTTCTTAGAACTGGAGCTGAGAATTCAATTTTCAAGTTATGTCTCCGATGTTGAAAACCAAACCTATGTTTTTTATAATTTGTTTTATAAACTATGAATATAAAATGTTTGAACTTTTTTTTTCTTTAAAGGAGTGAGTTGTGTACAGATGGGTTAAGTCTTTATAGGCAAGAAAAATATTGAAATGTAAGGCTATGTAAGACTTGTTTTTAAACTGTGCAGTGTCCTTTTTTTTTGTATAGCTAACACACTACCAAATGTGTCTTCAGATATCCATGTCCTGGTGGTATTCTCAATAGCCACTAACTTTGCCTGGCACACAATGAGGGTAGTAAATTAACATGGAAATTTAAAGCAGGTTCTTGTTGGTGCACAGCAGAAATTAGTTATATACGGCGACAGTAGTTTTTCATCTTCAGTTGTGTCTGATGCAGCTTATAGGAAATGTCATTCTGTTAACTGAATACCACTCTGTACTTGCAAAAAAAAAAAGTTGCAACTATTTTGAAAACAAATTTAGAACTTTCCAATGGTACCTGCTTAAGTGATTTTAAAGATCCTAATATTTCAATATTTAAACAATTTTAGTTATTTCTGATTTATTTTTAAAGAAGGCATTATTTTCTTTAATTAAGAGCGCCATGATACTTAAATTGTTAGAAGCTGTGTATAATAATTTTGTTAAGTAATGCTTGATGGTGGATTTCTTACAGTAAAAGAAATTGTCTAAATTTAGTTGGCTGACAGAAGTCACAAAGCAATTCCCACTTTTCTTTTTGTTCATCTAAGTTTGTCTACGTCCTTTGCTGGACAACAGAACAGTGCCACCTCTGTGAAGCCACATGGATCTCCATGACGGCATCATCCAACTAGTGTAGTTCAATCAATTGTAAAAGAGTCACAAGCCAGTTGGCATTAATAATGCTATCTACAATTCTCCTAAAGTTTACATATGTCTTAAAATTTTGTTCCACTTAAGTAATTTAAAGGTACTGAGTGTTACCTCTAAAAGGTAATATCTTCATTTATTTGTATCCTAAAATGTTCTCTCAAATGGAAGAAAAAGCAATGAAACCAGAACTGTTCTACTGAAAATTATGAATGACACTGCCTCCGTGGTGCTGTAGCCTGTGACCACTGAAACAGATGCCATACTCAGATGTTACTTTTTATATGAATGTCCAGGCTAGAAGTCTTTACAAACAGCTTATGTAGCTTTATTAATATTGTAGTGCCTTGACTGAAGTAATGAATATTAAATTCCTGTAAACAGTAAGTGCCCACATCTCTAGATAACTTAAGAATCAAATGTCTTGCTTCTTAAAGATGTAATAGTCATATACCCCTGAAGAATGCCCTTAAAGAGATGCTGCGTCATGGAGTCAATGACACATTATTTCCTTTTACTAACTCATATAAATATCAGGTGCTGGAAGCTTGCTCTAAACTATATTTAATGTCAATGACTTCAGTTTTTATCTGCTTCTATACCTTCATATGAAATGAAGGCTTAAGGCAAAGAAGACCATAATCTCGTATACTCATAAGGAATTAGTCATGTGATAATAAATATTCCACTTCATGAATCAGAGTAATATTAGTTGTTATCATATTTTTGAATCCTAGCTCCCGCTGCATATACTTGTGAAGATAATGTGAATCCATGTGGAGATGACGCATTTTGTAATCAAATAAAAACATCTGTTTTCTGTCGCTGTAAGCCTGGATTTCAGAGAAACATGAAAAACAGACAGTGTGAAGGTAGAGTGCCTTTCCTCAATGCTTTGCTTTTAAATCTTTGAGTTTTAAAAAGACTCCCAAGGATGCTATATTGTGAGATGACAGGGAATTGATTTTCATCAAAATACTGTGTAACTATGTGATACCGTTTCACTTCTGAGAGGGCAATTCCCTGGGGTTGAGGGTTGTTTTTTTGTACAAATAAGCTAACCATCAGTGAAGCCACAAAGCCTCCACAGCAAAATGAGACCAGCAGGAATTTCAATTGTGTTGTTACATTTCTACTTTGAAATGCAAATAATAGAATTGCTGGTTCAGGACCTAGTGGAGAATTAGACTCACTTTATGAAATAATATGTTTATGATGACCCATTTCTCTTGAGTGTATCATTTGCAATACTGTGATAGGCAATTCACATTTAGAAAGCTGTGGGCTTCTTTGGAATGGCATAATTTTGAAACCACATTTTAAACATTGCTATATGTTATCGTAAGATGTCTTTCAAAATTTACAGTCAGATTATCCATGAATCTGTCAATTTACCTAAGATCATTTAAAAATTGGCTGTGGAGAGACAAAACCTTATAGTGATTACACAGTAAATGTAATTCATATCAGGGAGGGATATATATATATATATATATCTTGCAGGCCCATGAACAATTCCTAAAGTTTCTTAGATAAAACTGCCATCCATATAAATATTTTTCTATTATGTGATTAAACTCAAGCTTAACATGTTTCTTATCTATGGTCTATCCCAGTCCTAAAATTATTTCATCTTCTCATTTGTTTCGATAATGTCTCTCTATGACATCCATGAGTTAAACTATGCTTGAATTGAATCCATAAAATATAATTGTGAAATTAATTATACATCACAAATAGGAAGCGGGATAGCCATATTTTGAATTGTAATCTAAGTTAGTTTATTCATGGAATTTTTCTTCCTCCATTACAATGAAATACTAAAAATTGATGCTAAGTTTTCTGTATTTTATTGACAGGTAAGTCATTTCTTCTTTCCCAGGCCATATCTCTTATATCTAAACATACACATATGCACACATAGACACACACACACACACACACACACACACACACACGGATATACATACACACAAGTAGTCTGTCTCTCACTCTCCTTTTCTTCAGTATTTTCATTATAATACCATTGATTTTCTAAGGTTTGTTTGTGAATACAGAACAGTTGGAGAAAATGAAAGACGTAACATAAGATCCAGTTACATGTTCAGGCAATATTCTAGATACTAGGCATATGTGCGATAAACATAGCCTGTTTCAAAATCTCATGCTCCACGGCTTATTATACTGATGATGGGGAAAATATTTTTGTCTATTATGGATTAATGCCAGGGCTTATTTTATCAATATATGCAATTTATTAAAAAATGAGTATCTATACCAAAAGGAAAACAGACTAACAATTTCCTGCCCTCTCAAATTTACAGTTATGAAGTAAATAAACAATAATTATTGCAATTTGACAGTTAAATGTTGATAAAGAAAATTTTATTTAATTCCTAAACAATCTCTGTTAAAGTTAATGCACTTTTCCTTAATCAAACACAAAAGTAATTTATTACAATGCTTACATGTTCCATGGATAAGGTCCTATAGCAGAAAAGCAGAACTAGAAAGCCTCAGCCTGTCATTTGCGTGGCCCCTAGGAAGGACTTTTATCTCTTCCATGGGTCTCTTAACACGAAAGTCTCCAGCCTGCAGTCTACAGAGCAGTACAGTTCCCTGGCCTGGTAGGAACTGGGCAGCTAGCAGAAAATGAGCAGCAGGCAAGGAGAAAGCTTCACCTGTGTTTGCAGCTGTTCCTCGGTGCGCACACTTTGCTTAAGCTCACCTCTGTGCATGTCAGCAGGAGCCCTGGAGCTCATGGGGCGCTTGCCCTCCTGCAAGCCACGAGAGAGACAAATCTAGGTTGTAACATCCCGTAAGAATCTACGTAACCTTGAGCCCACCTGCCCTCCCTGCTGCTCTAGCCCTGTCTGGTAGAAAAGGTGTCTTTTTGGAGCTCCATCCCTGGTACCGCGAAGCTTGCGGACTCAACCTTAGAACACTGGTTATTCGAATAGCAAACAGAAGCTAGTTATTAATAATGTGATGTTCTTCAAATTCTCAAATTTCTGGCAGATTTGTTACATAATTCGGACAACAGTAAATGATAGAATAGGGACACAAATTGTGTTATATGAAAGTAAAAGTAGACATAGAAATCAGAAAACCAATGATTCCTGTGAATAGTGTGATATTAATCTTGGCTCTAATTAAATCTTTAAAATTAGAGACCTAAACCAAAGCCACAGAACACTAACTGTACCTTATACATTTGCTTCTGTGATCTCCATAGTGTTATATATAGGCATCCAGCTTTTTAGTTTATTTGTTCAATTTATGCGTCTTCATATCAGCTCTTCTTATACAGATATATATAATATAA